ATATCGACGATACTGCCTTGAAAAATATCGGTATCATATCGAAAACAAAATAAGTGGTATCGCCCATCCCTAAGTAACAGTGCCGGATTCCAAAAGCTTTTATTGAAAGACGGAGCAAGGGGCGGGGCAGGACTGAAACACCGTCTAAGCTGTTTGCCAATCACAACGCACTGGGACAGCTAACCAATCACAACACATTTTGTTTTTCGGAAGGCGGACCTTCATCAAAGCCAGAACTAATCGAGCCGTTTGTGCCAGGCTGGGGAGAAAGGTATTTTAATAATGTAAATTATGTGAAAAATAATGCGTTTTTCGAACCACCAAGCATGAGAGCATGTTCTAGTACACCCCCAAAACAAAATCAAGACTTTGTAAAAGAGCATAATAGGACCCCTTTAAATGTATAATTACACTGTATCAATGACACCTTAAAATAAAGTGTAACCAATTTCATGCAATTATCAGCAAAGTAAAAAAGACAGATAAATGTGGCCTTACCGCAGTGTTCCTCATCTGCTCCGTTCTTGCAGTCCCTGTGGCCATTGCACTGAAGGACCTGGGGCAAACACACACTCATGTTTCCACATGGGAACTGACCCAGAGGGCAACTTTCTGTCACTGCCCTGCCAGCCATCATGGATGCTGCTGGGGGTGATAAGAAGAGGGCAAAAGAAGGAAGAGAAAGAAAAGTTACAACATCTCCCAGTACAAAATGGATATTGGTAAAAAGCTCTTTCAATCACTGCAGTAATTTGTGCTTCTGTCAGAGCAAAGTAGATGACTGGAAGCCCTCCCAGCAGTGTTAGATGGAAGGCATAAGCCAACAGACAAATGTGCGCCAAAATACAGCAGAGTTTGATCGAGTTTGTCCTTCAATGTCAACAAAAAAGTGTATTCTTCTCCCTTTTGAAAGTTGCTAAGCATATTTATTTTATCATCTTAACCATGTACGTTGACGGCTCTAGATGCAGTAAATACAACGACATGAAAAGCGCTCACACACAGCGTGTGACAACAATACTATATTTTGTAATTGGAAAATATGACGTCTATGAAGATGGGGCTCCCTACGGCAGGCAATTATTCTTCTTTCCATTTGACGTGACAAAGAGAGGCCAGAGTACACAAACAAAACGTTCTGTACAAAGGCTCTTTCACAATAAAAAAATAACTTACAGCTTCATTTTGCATAATAAATTCTCTCGTTGGTGATCTTTCTTATCGGCTCTCACTAACACTCATCACAAATTGGATTTGTGATAAATTGCGAGGGTGGGTGGCTCTCCCAATGCATAGCTTTATCACAATGAAATGGCCTTGTCTCTGACAGCCTTGTATACAAGAAATACACTGTTATGTCTAAGGGATATTTGTCACATTGTCTGTGTCACATTGGGAGCTAGTGAATGACATGATTGTCAGAGCATTTGCAGCTTAGAATAAATATGTTGTGCATTATTGGTGTATACAACAACCAGTGCTAGTTACAGCTTGTAGTGTATACAGCTTCTGTATAAGACTAACCGCTATATAACTAAAATATATGGTCTCTTCCATACCATATATGGGTAGGAGATTTATTTTATTTTTTATTAAACACATTATGGAACACTTTCATATGCATTAAAAATTTAACAAGAGGGTAAATAATGCAGCTATATCCACTCTTTTTGGAACAAATAAATAAATGTTTGAACTAACTGGGTTCCCTCCTTGAACCAGAAGTTTACTGCTCCTAGAAACTGGTTTTGTTTTTTAATTGAATCATTTGTAAGACTGTAGAAAATGCTTAGAGCACAGGCTTTCACACATCATGTAATAAAAGAAAAAAGCTTCAAGCACAAAAACACCTTCAAGTTATCATCATGCAACCTCAAATCAGGAACATTAGTAACATTAGTCCTGGTAAAGAAAAACAACTCCGCATGGAACAATATTTTTAGCACTGGCTCAACAGTAACATTTCTGTCTGCCAGCCTTATCAAGCCAGTAGTTCCGATTTTCATTTGCCAATATATTTACATATACTATATACTATATATGTATACTTTCTTTACTAAGACAATTTGCAATAATACCTGAAAATTATACAGGAAGCTCCAAGAAAGTCATAAATTCATGAGTACATATGCTGAAAAATGATGACATAGAGGGTAAAACATTACTCGATGGTTTGTAATTTTCTACCCATTCTTGCTGATGCTAACAAGACTATCACAAGTTATTTTTACAATTTCAAAAAACCCACATATGTCAGCCAGCAAAACAATTAGATAACAGTAGCTGACAAAGTAGACAAGCACAATTCACTACAAAAATGCCACAGAAACCAAATGTTGAAGTGTGCACAGCATAAAAATGAGTGTGCATGATCAAAAAAAAAATAAAGTGCTGACCAAACAGGGCAGGGATCTCCAACCTGCTGGAGTGCTACCATCCCACAAACTTCAGTTCCATCCCTGCTCCAACACACCTTCCTGTAATTTTCAAGTAATCCTGTACAACTTGATTAGCTGGTTTATGTGTGTTTGATTGGGGTTGGAGCTGAAATCTGCAGGGTGGTAGCTCTCCAGGAGCAGGACTGAATACAAAACACAGAACAAGAGAGATGTCACATCCAGCTACAATATAAAAATTCTTATCTTTTGTTTGTTTCCATTCCTATTTTTAGCAGACTTTTTCTTTTTTGCTGTTCCCCCAATCTGCGACTTCATTTAAATCTATATTTGGCTTCCAAGAATTAAAAATAATAGCACTTGTCTAGCAGATAGTATGTTTAATCCACCTGGAAAATAGTACATAAAAATGTTTCCAGTGCCAGTATTCATTCGTTTTTCTGTGGATGCAGCTGAGAAACAACATTAAAGGTGCAATAGGTGATTGTCTTCAGAAATTTTAGTGTTCATTGCTCCCTACTCCCTGAGCGGGGGAAATCCGTTGAAGTTTACTTCACTTCGGAACATGGGCTGGAATTGGGAACCGCTGATGTAGCCTATTGTAGTAATGTTGTCTCTGGTCTGTGAGCGTAAATGCGTTCAGGGGGCGTGGCTTTGGACGGCGATTGCAGGGAGGGTGGGGCGTTCGCTTTCAGTGCTATCAGGCTAAAGTTAGCATTTTCCAAGATCTCCTACTGCACCTTTAAGTCTGTGACTTCAAATAGCTAGTTTTGCCCTTCCTTGGCCAAGATTCCTATTAAATCCGTATGTGGCTATCAGGGTACATCAGCACTCGAAGTGACATATTCAAACAAACAAATTAGCTCGTTTTTTGACACCAATGCTAATCAGGATAATCACTGCAAATTCATGTAAGAGCCAAGTCCAGAACAATAATATTAAATGAGGATGACCAACTGGCTGGCTAAATGGTATCCATGCAGCATGCAGTGCACATTAGGAACCTAAAGAGAAAAATAAATAAATAAATACAACTTTCTGATCAGTGGCAATAAAAACGTTTTCATTGCCTGGCTGTAAACTTAATGGTTGCCACTGGTGTGGAATGTCCTTCTGAAGTCATTTTCAAAATGTATTCAGTGTTCCTGTGAACATTCAAAAATAAATGCATAGGTAAACAAATACTCAAATCATGAAAGGTCATGGTATTTCAAATACACATGCTTCATACAGTGTGATGAATGGCTCAGCACTGACCACCTTAGAAAAAACACAGTTGTGCTGTTCAGATATTTCTAAGTGTTGTCAGGAAACAGACTTTGACTACTAATCAAAAACTGGATTGGAGCAGGTATTAATTAACCATTAAAGCTATGTGATTTTGAGATGAATCAGAAATCTGCATTCAACATGAGAAATGTGCATTTTGTCTCTAAACAAGTGAGAGAATGGAAATGCAAGTAGACTTTCTGTCAGGTCATTCTGACCATCAGCAGAAAAGGTGTTGCCATGCTATGCCTAGTTAGGGCTATACATGACTTTCTATCTTCCAGAGAAAACCCAAGTCTTTTGAAATAACATAACGAAAACTGAGCAATTCCAATCCAACACAAATAATTTTTTATTTGTGAGTGCCGCAAGGTAAAGATAAGAAGTGAATGAATTAAAATTTCTGCCCATTTCTCACAGAATTAGAAGGGTTGGAAAAAAGCATGATTAGGAGTATGGATTACTGTTACGGGTCTTTTTTGTTTCTTTTTTGTCCATTTTGGAGAGTCCCTGTATGGAAAAAAAAACTTATCTTGTGTTCCATGTAAAAAAATAATAAGCATAAATGTTTGGAACAGCATGGGGGTGAGTAAATAATGACAGAATGCTTAGTTTGGGGTGAACTGTCCCCTAAAATTGTGCATTTAGTTTTCCAGATGGGAATCAAGGGATTGAGCTGAGCCACAAACTTGTCACCTTCTCATTTATCTCTCTCTCCTGGCTGTAATCCCAGTAACTGGACCAAGTGGCCCAATGAGGCCTGCAAATCTGGTTTTCATGATCTCGTTAGCATGCCTTCCAGCAATGATCTGTTTCATGGTGTCTCTGAACATGTTTAAAGTTGGGATCAAGCAAAAGAAAGTCTGGTCCTTCAAATCAAGAGAACAAAAACATTTTTAAAGGTGTATTGAGAGCCAAAAGAATCCACAGGAGACGACTTTATGTTTCCGACACATTTCATCTGTTGGATTTCTACGTTTGTGGCATGGATCTTTATCGCAGGAGCCTTTTTTATGCTACAAAGAAAAAGACACATTCTTAGTTTGGAAATGCAATTATTTGCACTGTAAAACCCAGATGCACATTTTACGTCTCCCTGAAGATAAGAGATGTCTTTGGTTAAGAGGGAGCAGAGTACTTCCTATTCATCACAGTTTTTGAACTGCCACAGTAAAACTGCCGCAAAGGGATTGTAAATGTACTGTGTATCATCACCATTTTAATTTCTGCAAATATTAGTGCTCTAAATAACTGCATTGTTCCAATTTCCTGTTCATATTAATATATTTATATATATTAGCCACTGATCTCTATGGACCAATGTAACTGATCTCTTAGTTCAATGTATCCAATAGCCCAGAGTGAATCTAATATGTGAAAAAAATTAGTTTCTCCTCTTCAATTTGTGTGATGTGAGAAACTGAATTACATACAGCACAGGCACCTGCGTTATGAATGATATGAATGAAACAAACGATCTTTGATAAGACACCTGTGAAAGACTTTGAAAAGCTTCACGTTCACACATCCACACACACATATATAAACACGGCTTTGACCACTTCACCCAACGGTTATATAGCGTCAAAACTGTTCCATTATGTATTTCAGCAATATGAACTGTAATGAATTATGACCAAACCCATGTTGTGTCATTAACCTTTCATTTTGAGGCCATACCCGCCCTTTCCCCTCATACTGGAGATCTGTTGATGTGTGTGCATGTCTGTGTGGAAGCCCACAGTTTCCGAAGTGCGACGGAAATATTATTGTATTGATTAGTTTTCTGTTTCAGGTATGGTACTGTATGTCCATCAATCTACACTGTAATGACGCTTGCAAACTCTGCAAGCTGTGCTGTGAATCAGTCGGTTTTCAACTAAAAGCCGGAAAAAAAGACATTTTCTCATGCTGAAAGCTGGAAAACAGATGTTTTCTCACGCTCAGAGATATGCGTGTGTGAGAAAATAGCACATATGATGTTAACAAATAAATGGCACAGTGGATGAGAACAGTGATTTATTTACAATACAGCATGGCCTCTCATACCTTATTGCTATAGATTAGAATAATGTTATTCCTTCATATCACATGGTGAAACAATTTAGTGTTTTAAAATATTAAAGTTTAAAATATGAAAAAAGTTTAAAATATTATAAAAAGAGAAAAACAATTATTATCTGACAGAATTTTTCATCTACATCTATAGTATCTACAGATATGCATTAGTATCAAAAAAAAATGTTTTGTGTATTTTGTACTACGGTAATGTAATGTCAGGGAATTATTGTTGAGTACTTTATAAATGTCGACATATGCAAGTGTTTGCAATTCATTTATGTGTATTTGCATTTAGTTTGATCGTGTTCTTAAATAATTTGACAGCTCTTGCATGAAAAAGAACGTATCAGTAATTTATGCACACTACTGGAGGCTATGCACAAAAGATAATGTTACAGAAACTAATTCAAAAAATGCATAGACCCAAAATAAAAGAGAAAAAGAAGAGAGCACATATATAACAATCTGACACAGATAAAGAAACCAAGTGAAACAAATGGCAATGCAGACCAGAACGATGGCTTTTTAAACCGTGGAAATGTTTTAGATCCGTGTTTACATTTGAGTTTCACACAACTTAGGTTTATGGCTTTATGGAGGGCTCACATGAGACATAGGGCCGCACATGTGACGATACCATCTGGAAAGAGGCTCATGACAATGGCAACAGGCTTTTTAAGGCAATGTTGCCAGGCAACCATTATTGGGTAAAAGAAGGAGAAACTGGCTAACCAGTAGTCCTACGTCTTTATTCACTGTTTAAGCTATAACTCTGAAAATGCCTTCAAATCCAAAGCAAAATACTCAGTTCAAAATCTAGGACATATAAGTGAAAACTGAGGTATAACCACTTATCTATAATAGAGAACATTATATATAGATCAATGGGTATAAATATAATACAATATTAATGGCCATCTGCAGTGCCATAACAACACAGACACAGTCAATAGGGCCTTTCGCACCGCAGGAACCTTTTCATAGTACCAGAACTAATTGTGGAACTACCCACTTTTTGGCGTTTTCGCACCGCCGGAACTGGGAGCAGCGCAGCCCTGGTACTAATCGGGACGTAAGTAGACATTGATTGGCCAAACGCATACGAAAACGCCCTCACCCGCCATGATTTAAAATGAGTCTGGGTTCCTACACATGGTGGCAGGTGCTCATTTCTTAAAGCTTGTCACAGTGAAATGAACACTCCTGTCTCAAATAATCTTGATACAAATGAGGGCCACACAACACTGTCAATCTGTTTATGGTATAATAGCGGGCCAAGTCATTACCCTTACACTTCAAGATCAAATCAAAAACACAAGAGCACTGTATAGCCTAGCCTACCAATAATCAGGAGTTTAACAGAGCAGGGGCCTGTGGGAAGAGAACCATTGAAGCTGACAGAGTCATAAATGAGCTTTCATGTACACAATGAACAACTCATTAGACACCCCTGTACTACTTAATTTGCAGTCAGTCTTCTGTCTACAGCACAGTCTTTAACACTGGCCGTTTGAAGTGCAGTGTCAGACAAACACCAGTGAACCATATAATATTTTGCCTTTCAGCAAAGGTACTTACAAATCCAAGATCATGAAACAACAACCTGACACTCTTCACAATAAAAGTTCAAATTAGATCCAAAGAGACTTTTTAAAAGTCTTACGTAATAGAAGGTACTTCTAGCTTCTTTGTATACAAGTTCATCAAAGACCTTTTAGAACTTTCACTTAAAGAACCCAGAAACAAATATGCTGATCCAAAGAACCTGTAAATTATCATTAAGAAGGCTTTTGATCTCCAGAGAACCACATAACCTTAGTCAGGGTAGATGCATATTTAACACCAATGAAATACGGGCATGAGAGACTGATGTACAATGAATTGTTTACGAAGTAGTTTAATTTTGTTACTGTACTTAAAGGGGTCATATGATGCTTTTTTCACGAACAGCTTGTAACACTCCAAAGAGAAAGGAAAACTTGAAATCGCATCATATGACCCCTTTAAGTATATTTTTCAAGTATTGTACTTTACTGGAGTAGTTTTAATTTTGAGTAACTTTTACTTTTAACTTCACTACATTCCAAAGCATAAGATCGTACTTTTTACTTCACTACATTTCATAAAACTTATCGTTACAAATCTGCTGTAAAGGGTGATCTGTTTAAGCCCACTGAAATGCTTGAATGCAGACACATCAACATCAGTGTCTCTATGTTTTAGGTAAAAAAAAAAAGAAACATTAAAATAACACAGATTAAATAAAATAACTAATGCATGTTCATCTTCCCCGCTGCTGTAACATTAGGAGTTTTACTAAAATGCTATGCATTTAGCCCTATGTGACGTCTGTTTTTATATTGTTTGTCAACACACATAGCCTAAGTTACTATGTATCTGGATCGACTAGCCGAGTAGACAAATATGAATGTTTCTTCATAACCATGCTGAAAATAAGTCAATAATGTTAGCTGATGCTAACTGTCTAGCTAACGAGCTTGCTGG